TAGTAATGTTTACCAAAAATAACATCATTTAGTTCACTTTCATTGTTTATTATATTGCATACCTATGGCAACGAATGAAAAGTACATATATTGGAAAAAGTTTTACATTTAAATATTGCTGATATTTCAGATTAAATAGAACTGTGGGATTTCTGTATTTTTCTTTTTCATTCAAAACATTTAAATGATTCTCTTCGTAGTTTTCTCCGGTCAATGACCGCTCTTTTGGATCCTGCACAAATTGAAGAAAGAGACAGGAGGCGGCAGAAACAGTTAGAACATCAGGTACAATAACGTTATAATCTGACACAGTCTAAATGGGAAGAATGAATAAGTGTGGTGATACGATTAGAGCAGGAGCCTGAGTGCGAGTATACATTGCTCAAAGGAAAGGAAACTGTGACTTCAACAGATTACCCTGGTTAACCAGGTACATGCCACTTACAGCAATAGTGTGAAAGACTTAATGACTGTCGGTAAAGTGCTTATAGTCCTCTATTAAACTCGTGCCTCAGAAAAATGACACACATCCTTAGGGCTCTAACAGGATTTGGGGACCCCTTCCTTCTAATCCTGACTGGACTGATATTGTAGTTTCTGGTCAACAGATGTTTAAAACAGAATGGTGCTTTCTCTCATTTACATTAAGCCCCTAATTATTTTTACATCCACTGGCATGGTTGTATAATTTATTGTGATTGATTGGAGTCCTATGACACCTTTCAGTGTAAACAAACCTATTGGAGTACACCCAAATGCCTTATCTTTCCCACAGAAGATAAAGCTTATAAAAAGTAATCCAAGTGATAGGATTAGGAGCATGTGTGCAAATCCTCCTACACCCTGATACATTTTTTTTAAATTTGTACTTTTCTTTGGCATACTTTCTCTGAATAGATTTACCTACCAGAGAGTGAAGTTTCACTTATTTTGTGAGGCACAGAGAATAATCACTTTTCTTATTGAACTGGACTTTTATGAAATCAGAATACAAGTTACATATTTTCTAATGCATGTGGGAGACATGAAATTGTGATATATTTCATATTATGCATAGTATCTTTTAATTTTACTAATTTTGTCATGATTTTGACATCTCTAGAAAGCTATAATGGCTCAAGTAGAGGAAAAGCGAAGGAAGAAGCAGCTGGAAGAACAGCAAAGAAAATGGGAAGAACAAGAAGAAGAACACCGCTTAACACGGGAACGAGAAGTAATGCAAAAACAGTTTGAAGAGGATATGCTCAAACAAAAACAAAAGGAAGTGGGTGTCTGCACTCACTGTTAAGCCTTTATTTTGTGCAACTAAATGATGTTATTTAATTGAGCTGTCGATGCCTAAAAGACTTAGATTAGTATTATTTACTATTTATTTCTAAGACAAGAGGCAAGAACAGTGTTGAAATTCCATTTGTGTCTATAGTTAGATTTAGAATCTTGATTTTTGAAGCAATGTAGGAGATTTTGCCACACTTCAGGTAAAATAAATTAAGTAATAATGAAATGGAAGACCTGACAACTTGAGGAATAGCTTCAAAAAATGTTACCCATGGTTCTTGATTAAACTAAAATGCTTAGAAAATTAAGTCAGCACTAATATCACCCTATTTGTGAGGAAGAAGTATTGAATTACTGCCCTCCAACACTGCTATAAGCTTTTTTCATTGAAGAAATGAATGTCCACCTTTTTTTCCATAGTTAAAAAAATGTAATTTCTAACTTTACATGAAATCTGTCTGCTTGTCAACATCATTCATTTTGTGTTTTCACCGGTTTGAAGGTTGTGGGTTTGTTTTTTTGTTTGTTTTATTGGGGGTGATTTTATTGGTGGGTGGGAATGGTTTGAGGTTCAGACAGTTTACACAAAACGACATGGACAAAAATCTTCAAATACGGTTTTACAGAAAGCTGTGGAAGATAAAGGTTTTATGCAATGTTTTGTACCCAAAATAGCATTTTTAAATTTTTTAGTTAAAACAGCAAAAATTGTGCTTTGACCTCCAATTCTATCCTAGAATATCTGACTGGTATTAGTCTGTAGCTTGAGGCTTCTGTGACTCTCCATGTAGTGTAATGTGCCTGACTAGATGTATAATGATCAGGGCTGAAGGTTTTCTTGAGAATAAATGTTAGTAATATGTCAAAAATCAGTGACACATTCTGAAGGTAGTACAATAATTTTTGTGAACACCACACTGAACACTCCATTGAAATTTTATTTCAATCTTCCAATGATAAGAACCTTCTGACCCCTTTGTGGATTCAAACTTGGTGTGCTAGGGTAGCATCATAGAACACTAGAACTGGAAGGAACCTCAAAAGGTCATCGACCATCCCTGATAGATGTCTATCTAACCTGCTCTTACATATCTCTAGAGATGGAAATTCCACTACCTTCCTAGGCAACTTATTCCAGTGTTTGACCACCCCGACAGGAAGTTTTTCCTAATGTCCAGCCTAAACCTTTCTTGCTGCAACTGATGCCCATTGCTTCTTGTCCTATCCTCAGAGGCTAAGGAGAACAATTTTTCTCCCTCCTCCTTGTTGACACCCTTTTAGATACCTGAAAACCGCCATCATGTCCCCTCTCAGTCTTCTCCTTGTCCCCTAGGACAAGGGGTGTGTGGAAGGAGAAGAAATAAAAGATGTAACTGCTGTTTTAAGCCACAAAACTTGAGCTATTGTCTTTTAGAGCAGATATTGTGGACTTCAAGGAAAGCATCATGCAGGTATATCTCAAACCACACAGGGCTCCAGATTCTGCAGGGAAATCAGAGGCATCCCTGTAAATCTTAGGAATTGAGATACTGTACAAATGACCTGCCTCACTGCATTGTTTTACTGGAGTCACCTCTCTCAAGAAGTGCAGCTCCTTCAGGAAATTTAAAGCTATCAGATGCTCCCCTCCCTTTACCAGTATATACTAAGAGCCACAGAGACCAGAACTTCAACAATTCTTTTCACTCTGAAATCTGTTATGTGCTGATGAGAGCTGTTACCTAGCTCAGTTTCCTGCACTTTAAATCCACAGAGCCTTAAAGTGTGAAGAAGGCATCTTTGTTTGGGGATGACTTGCTGTTTTGCTATCTCTCTTCCATAGGTGTAGGATACACTGTTTTCTTTCCTTCAGGTCTCATGATCTAGGGGATCACAACGTAGTCTAGCTCTTTATGCTACTACAGCACTGACGTTAAGAGCCTTTGTATTAGTATCACATTAAGATGTTTATATCTCTTATTTCTTCTGCTCACTTAAACAAAATATCAAACTATAAAAAGACACGAGTGGATATAAATTTAGAGTGATAATGCAGTCCTTTTTATTTTATTCTCTGACTAAATGATCTCATGCATTTGTCTCCCTTTTTAAATAGGAAATCATGACTCTTAAAACAAATGAGCTCTATCAGACAATGCAGAGAGCACAAGAACAGGCACAGAGATTAAAACAGGAACAACGCATTCGAGAATTGGCTCAAAAAGGACATGACATTTCAAAACTGCAAAAAAATCTTGGTAGCTCTGGTGGCAAGTACCAATATTTACTATATTTTATTTTACTTTTGTAGAATTTGCATGAGTTCTGGATACTATTTTCAAGAAAAAAACATTCTGTCAGTTTAGACGTTGTTCCTTGGCTTTAGAAACCAGACAGATCGGTTACCCTTTTAAACTTTTTTCCAGTCAATTATCTCAAACTAAACATATATAATGCTAGTCAAGCCCCAAACACAAGCAGTGTATTATTCCTTTTTTATAAAAGGAGGACACATTTTCAGGAGCACAAGCACAACTGATATGGCTTTCAGTGGATCTTGCATGCCTGAGTCCTGTAACTTTTTTGAAGATGTTCCTCGGTCATATAGTGAGTCAACTACAGTGTCAGCACTAGAACCCAGAATCCTTGTGTCTCAAATTCTTAATCTAATTCAGGGGTGTGGAACCTCAGGCTCAGGGGCCATGCAGTCCCTGGCTTGCCTGGATCCGACCTCCAGGGTTCAGGGCTTCTCTCCCCCCAGCACTGGGGAGCCAACACTGGCACTCCAGCCCCTGCTGCCCTCCCACCCAACTGTTTTGTCTTTTGGTCAGCGGCCCCCAACTCAGAAAAGGTTCCCCAGCCCTGCTCTAATTATTAAATTACAGTGATAGCAGACCTTTGATACTATGATTTAGATAATCAGTTTTCTGTTAATTGGTCTACTTAAGTCACTTGTTTTTTATTTTTAGGTGATAAAATATATGTGTGTCATAATACTGGCCTTTCAAATGTAAATAATGAACATTGTTCTGTTGAAGTGAACGGTAAAGTGCATCAAGATGTAAAAACAGTAACCTCTCCTCGGAAAGATACTGCTGTGCAAACAGGTATAAATTCAAAAAATAATATGATTTAATAGGGTATCATGTTCTGCATGAAAAAAATGGTAGTCTAGATATTTCATTGGTTCAGGTTATCAGTAGAGGAAAATCTTGTTTATGCTGCAGTGAGTAAAATGAGAAGTGACTGTTTACACAGATATAGCCATGTGAGAATATCAAGAGTAAATAGCAGCAGCAATAGGGAAGCTAAGGCCTTGTCTACCCTACAGGGTTTTGTCAGTGCAAATTATGATATACAGCCACTGCTGTAATTAAATAGCTGTTTCATGTCTACACTATGGTACTTGTGTGGGAGCATATCTACCATAGCAGCTCTTGCATCAATGCAGAGAGCAGTGCACTGTGGATAGCTATCCCACTGTGCAACTAACTCAGAGGGTGCTTTGGGAAGGATTTGCAGTACCTCATGGGCATGATCTAAAAAATCAAAAAGGAGTTATATACAAAGTGGAAACTAGGTCAAATTACAAAGGATGATTATAAACAAACAGGTATGCAGGGGCAAGATTAGAAAGGCAAAGGCACAGAACTAGCTCAAACTAGCTAGAGATATAAAGGGTAAAAAAAAGACATTCTATAAATAAATTAGAAGTAAGAGGAAAACCAAAGACCGGGTTGGCCTGTTGCTTGGTGAAGAGGGAGAAACAATAACAAGTAACTTGGAAATGGCAGAGGTTTGTTTTTGTCTTCACCAAGAAGTCTGATGATGAATGCTAGTGGAAATAGGGTAGGTTTAGAAGATAAAATAAAAAAAGAACAAGTTAAAAATTACTTAAGAAAATTAGATGTCTGCAAGTCATCAGGGCCTGATGAAATGCATCCTAGAATACTCAAGGAGCTGATAGCTAAAGGCTCAGATACCTTCTCTATCATCTTTGAAAAACCATGGAAGACAGGAGAGATTCCAGAAGACTGGAAAAGGGCAAATATAGTGCCCATCTATAAAAAGGGAAATAAGAACAACCCAGGAAACCACAGACCAGTCTGTTTAACTTCTGTGGCAGGAAAGATAATGGAGCAAGTAATTAAGGAATTAATCTGCAAATATCTGGAAGAAAATAAGGTGATAAATTACAGCCATCAGGGATTTGTAAACTACAAACCAATCTGATAGCTTTCTTTGATAGGCTAATGAGCCTTGTGGATAAGGGAGAAACGGTGTACATGGTAAAGCTAGCCTTTAGTAAGGCATTTGATATGGTCTCACATGATCTTATCAATAAACTAGGCAAATACAACTTGGAAGGAGCTACTATAAGGTGGGTGCATAACTGGCTGAATAACCATTCTCAGAGAATAGTTATTAACAGTTCACAATCCTGCTCGAAGGGCATAACAGGTAGGGTTCCGCAGGGTTCTGATTTGGGACCAGTTCTGTTTAATATCTTCATCAATGATTTAGATATTGGCATAGAGAGTATGCTTATTAAGTTTGCAGATGATACCAAGCTGGGGGGGTCATAATTCAAAGAATTAGGGTCATAATTCAAAATGATGTGGACAAACTGGAGAAATGGTCTGAGGTAAATAGGATGAAGTTTTAATAAGGACAAATGCAAAGTACTCCACTTAGGAAGGAATAATCAGTCTCACACATACAGAATGGGAAGCGACTGTCTAGGAAGGAGTACTGCAGAAAGGGATCTAGGGGACATAGTGGACCACAAGCTAAATATGAGTCAACAGTGTCAGCATGCCATCTCTTAAGTTCACACAGCATCTGGAAGCCACCAATTTTGAGGCAGAAGCTGATGCACAGACAGCTGGTATCCTTCTATCCCCCATCCCAGCTCAGAAGAGAGCAGTACACTGGTAGTGAGAGTGATATTCTGATATCAGCCCCTCGCCTCCCTCCCCTGCTCTATGCAGCAGTCTGTCTATCCCCTTTTCCCCCAGCAGTAACAGCCTGCCTTCCACTGCAGTCCCAGTGCCAGAGAGAGCAGGATTCCGAGTTAATATTTCAATTCCATGATTCCTTCAGAGTTCTCCCACTGCCTTCTCTTTTCACAGATTTAGGAAATGCAGATATTACTCCCATTGTGTTTTGCTTACAACGCTTAAACTTCATAGGACCCACGTACACATGTGACTATAAATCCTTTTGTTTGGCAAAATTGGGTTTCTCCTCTGCTGGGACGTAACAACTTGAAACAAATTATAGGAAGATACTTTATAAATACCTACATTTCACAATGATATTAAGGACCAGCATGATTCTGGCTTTCATTTAAGAACTCACATGGTATTCTTCATAGATAAATATTATGACAGCAAAGTATTAGGTGTAGTGTGTTTGTCAGGCCTGACAGGACTCTTTGCCAGTTCATTGCATTTTATTTTGTTTCTTTAACTACAAATTTATATTTTGGGCGTGGCAGCAAGTATAGCAAGATCAATGGAGATTTGCAAAGTCTACGGAGTTAAATATCAGGGTGTGCTTAATGTAATTTATGAAGGGGATTGATAGAGTGAGAAGGTGGTTTATTGGTTTTAAACACTGAAATTCAAACTTGTCTCTCTCTAGAAGGCAAAGATGTCATATGGCACCTGCCAGTCTCTCTTGCCGTCGATACATACCACACTCACTTAGGCCACCTTTCCTACCACTATGCATTGTTATAGTGTTCTATCAAGCCATTGCCTCTAGTATTTACGTATATGTCCAAGTCAGCTTCCCTCTTTCTTCTGGGGAAAAAGAGAGCACTATTGGCAGCAGTTAGTTCTGCTTTCCTTCAGGCTGTGCATTCCTTATCTCTCTTTCCAAGGTATCCTTCCTTTCTGTTTGTTTCTTCCTACTTGCTATAGTTGCTTCTGCCCTCTAATTAGCCCTTCAGCTATGGCCCTACTTGTTAGTCGGTCCTCTACTTAGATCCCCATTAACCTATATTGGAAGGGATGAGAGGTTACTGAGTCAGCTCTTGACTCAGAACTCCTGCCACATACCTCCTTTCTTCTCTTTTCTTTTGGACTTAGCTCTGCCTTTATCACAATTTCCTGCTTTTTTGTACCGCATCTGTGGATTTGTCCTGACCCTATCAGTGTCTGTCGGCTTCTTCTACCCACATAAAACTCTCCAACTTGTGTGTGTGGTGGGGGAGGGATTTGTCCCCAGAATTCAACCATTCTTCATGACAAGGGTATTCTATTATCTGGCCTTCCTAATTTGTTGTTCATCTAATTGTAGACTCTCTTCACTCTCCATGATACTTTGGTACCTTGTTAGTCTGACATCTTATTCTTGTGCTGATCCATTCCTGGGACTCCTCAGTCATTAGTCCCTGTTTCAGCTGTTTTTCCTTCTGTCCTCTCTCTTTTCTCTTGTTGACCTTCCTGTCTTGTATCTCATTGTTTGGGTATTTTTATTTGTTTAACAGCCCTCTTCTTCTACCTCCTTTTCCAGTACCTTGGCGTTTCCTCCTCCTCCTCTCACTGAGAGGGATTTCCAGTTAAGATCCAAAACAAATGAATGGGGTAAAGCCTCCACAATCCGCATAACTACTTGACTTCTAAGGGGATTTTTGCTAAGAAGCAGTGTTTCCCCATGCAAACATTCTAACCTTACTGGTAAAATCCACTGGAGTTTCATCAAATCTCACAGAACAAAAATTCACAGACTTGCAATCCCTGACCGACATTCTCTGTGTCTTGGCCACCCACATTCAGAACACAAACCACACCTCTTCTGGCAGCGTGAGGGCCCTTTGGACTTCTCTTTCCTTTTCTCAGTCCCTTTTCCTGGCTGAGCATCTATCAACTTCTTTTTCATCTCCTGTCCTCGCCAAGGGATCTTTTTGGGTAGATTGTCCTCTGAGAATTTTTCTGTCAGCTTCACCACACTGTCCAATATTGAGGATTGGTACCAGTACACTCATACTCCCCATGACAGGAAGACCTTGCAAGAACTATTCTACAATCTCCACATCCATCACTTCCTCCACTCCTGGCTTTCTGGGAAGTAACAAACACCTAGTAAGTAGCCCAGTCTTAATGGCCTCTGTGTAGGTACTCTGGGCCTTATTCACTCTGTCCATTTCACCACTCTTAATTTCTGTTGGCTTCTCTTTGACAACAGAGCCATCCTATCTGTGGTGGCTGCCATGACTCCATCACAGTCCCTAGCATGTTCTTTGCTTTGGGATGCTTGGACATTGGCTTTGCGAGTGGCTCCTTACTTGACAGGCAATACTGCCTTACCCCAACAAGAACTCTCAGAAGTTTGTTGAAAAAGTGAATAAAGCTTCATGATGTTGTTCATTATTGGGCAATCCAAATAAAAGATGAACTCCGTATATCAAGATGATGTTTCATTTTAAGTTTTGTTACATTTTATTCCCCGTGTTTTTAACATGGATTGAGTTTATCTGATCATTCTTTGGTTCTCCCCTTTGCTGTTTACTCTGAAACATTATAAGAAATAAAGTATGTCAGTATTGTAGCAACCAGTGTTTTGAATAGCATGATTAGTAATGCATTTATAATCTAAATACTGAAATATAAATTGAAGAAGTCATGTGGCCTGCTTAAGAACATGTAAAAGAGATACTTTTGTTTTTAGATGACTTTGACACCAGAGCACTTATCAGCACTGAAACATGTATTGAGTCAGTTGAAAAGAGAAGAACTTTGGACAGTACATCTCCAGAAATTTCCATAGAATATAAAGAGAAATGTAACACCAAAAAATGTAAGAAAGAAATGCAGTATCCAGATAAAAAGAAAATTTCAGAAAAAGAAAATGCTGACAGTTACACTGATTTATATGACCAATTTGCAAGAAAAGAGAAACAAACAAAAACTATGGAAAAATATGGAAAGAGACCTGACTGGAACATAAACAAACCTGGGAAAAGGTATATTCCAGCATCAGAAAGATACCCTAGACAACTACAAAAGCAAAGGGAGGAAAAGAAAGTAAGACGACAGATAGAGCTGCTTCAATTGGTAGAAAGAAATACTCCAGGCAAACTCTGCCAAAAGAAAGAAGTCTCTCCAGAAAGGTCTCCTTCACCTCACCAGGAAACTAATACAAAAAGTAAGGGACATGCAGTCACAAAGGTAATGATTTGGAGTTTCACAGCAGCAATTTTTCATTGTAATCTTAGTTCACTTAATATCTCATTTGTGTTTGGGCTAAAAGATCGTTGGTGCAACTCCTGTGCTTCATACAGTAACGTGAGTATTCTAGTGATATAATACATTCATATTTTACTCACATGAATGTAGACGTCATCATAAGCCTTTCCTGTGTATTTATGCCGTCATATAGTTGTCATTTATTCCTTGGCTACGTCTACACTGGAATGATTTTGCGCAAGAACTCTTTTGCGGAAGAGTTCTTGTGCAAAAACTCTTCCAGAAGAGAGCGTCTACACTGGCATGTGCGTTTGCGCAAGAGATGTGCTTTTGCGCAAGAGCATCCATGCCAGTTTAGATGCTGTCTTGCGCAAGAAAGCTCTGATGGCCATTTTAACCATAGGGCTTTCTTGCGCAAGAAATTCATGTTGCCTGTCTACGCTGGCCTCTTGCACAGGAACAATTGCAGAAGAGGGCTTATTCCTGAGCGGGAGCATCAGAGTTTTTGTGCAAGAAGCACTGATTTCATACATTAGAACGTCAGTGTACTTGCGCAAGAACTCCCCGCCAGTGTAGACAGGCAGCAATCACACCAATGTAGACACAGACTTTGTGTAAAGCGGAAATCCGACTGGCAGCAAGAAACAAGTTTCTGTATCATTGTACTCTTGGAGATTGGCGTTATGATACTGACTTGCTCCTTTGTGACCATTTAAAGTGAGGGGATGGCAGAGCAATGTTAATTTGTATAAACAAAAAAGCCGTTGTTGATTTGTAAGACAATTTTTGACAACAAAGTACATCCTTTATAATTTAACCTTCTCTTCCTTCTCCCACACCACTAAACACACATCATCAGTAGCTCATGGCTGAAAAAAGTCTTAGCTTCCCACACTTTAAAGAAAATACTGCTGCTACCATGCACCTCCTAGCACTGATATTTTCCCATTCCTCCTTTTCACACCAACTCTTACCTTTCAGAGAAAAATGTGTCTGGGATGTAGTTACTTGTGTAATTCTGTGTAGCCAGCCAAGATCTTCTATTTGTTTGGCTGAAAACGAATGCTACAAATGTCAAAGTCTGTAAGCACAATAAGTAATCTCTGACAGTCTGTAGATATTCATGTATATGTTTTAAGTGAGTGTGGAGGACAAAACTGCAAAATGGAAGACATTTCTCCACTTGCGGTTGCTTTTGCAGTCAGTGCCAATGGCAATTATTTCCACTGAGTTCTGCAGTTAATTTTCAGGAATGCTGGTCTTTGAAAATACAAGATACGTTGAAGTAGGGTATAATTGCATGTTCAGAAGTTTAATAAACCGTAATAATCTTTATAAGAAAAATTATTTTCCTTTATGTCAGGGAAGAAGAACCTACATTTAATAATAGGGCTCTGCCTAAAAGCTTTTAGTATGGATTAAGGATGTTAAAATCCGGTTAATTGACTAGTTGATGGAATTTCTGTCGACCAGACGATAGGCACTTCCACATTCCTCCATTGAAATGTACCAGAGCCGCTACTGGGGCTCTGGTACATTTCAAAGAAGAAATGCGGAACTCCACATACAGCCCAGGCCAGCAGGAAGTTCTGCTGACTCTAGGCTGCACGTGGGTGCCAGCGCTGAAGTGCACAAGAGTCCCCAGCGGGCACGGAGTTCGGACTAAGGGACATTTAAAAATGGCGGCTCCTGGGAAGATGCAAATGAAGCCCGGGATATTTAAATCCCGGGCTTCATTTGCAACTTCGAATGCCTACATTAGCCACCCTAGTTTGAACAAGGGGGCTAGTGTAGACATACCCTTACATCCTTAGTATGGATTCAGCCACAAAAGGTACTGCATCGGGTCCTGTATCTAGTGTTTCTGATTGTTCCAAACATCTGTAGGTACTTGTCCCCACGCACTTTTTCATAATCATGTTTTATGGAGAATTTTTCATTCCGACAGCCTTTTCCTCCCTTTGTGTGGTTAGGTGGTTATTCCGAATAATGGTGGTTATTCCGAAATAACAATGTAAGTGTCTACACAGAAATTCCATTATTGCTAAGTAAATTCGGAATAACGGACGACTTATTCTGACTTCTGCAAACTTCATTCCATGAGGAATAGCTATTTCAAAATAGCTGTAGTGTGGATGCTTACTGCTGCTATTTCGAAATCGCTCCTCGCCAGGGCCATTCAAAATTATTGTTGCCTTAGTGCTTCCTAGGGCTCTAAATCGAGGCAACACATACACAGTAAGGTAGCCTGTCTTGTACTAATTTCGAGGCTTCTCTGTAGTTTAGATACGCTATTTTGAAATAAGCTATTTCGGAGTATTTTTTCCAGAATAACTTATTCTGAAATAAGTATGCAGTGTAGACGTACCCTGAGATTTTATATCTGTGTTTCCTGACAACCATTTTTCTGAGTTACTGATTAAGTCTAACTGCTTTAATTCAACTGAGTTAGCAAAGATCTCAGCTGGTTCCTTGACTTCACAAGAATTGACAAGGAATTTTTCCATAAACACTCTTCCAGGATACCACTCCTATGGACACCCAACCAGATTCAAACTGATTCTGAGGCTTGAAATTTTAACGCTTAATTTCTCTTGGAGTGGCGGTTTGTGATTCTTAGTCCACCTCAACAGGCCAGAACTTCTCTGGGTTACTGAGGCTTCCCCTACAGGCAAAACTTGGTCAGGGAGTGTCATGGTTTCAGGGGTGACCCTTGAGTCACAGATAACATGTACTCCTGCCTCCAACCAGGAAGAGTTACCAGAATTGCAGACCTTACAGGTATGTCTGCTCTTGTACTTCATTAACAAAACTTTTATTGTTCAGATGCTTAACCCTTCTCCCCCTCTTAAATTAATTTTTTTTTTGTGGCAAGTGAAAATATGAATGCTGTTTTGTTGGCAGGAACGCTCTCCTGGTGACAAAGTAAAATCTCCTTTTAGGGCATGGCACTTTTGCTGACAGAATACTTCCAACAAACAGCATTCACACAAGTTGACTTTAAGGGACAAGCCAGTGTCAACACCCTCTTGTTGCTAAAAGCTGCATAGTGTAAACATGCCCTAACGTTCTTGATTCTTCTTACCTTTTTAATAGGTAACAGGTTTGAAAACAAAAGGAAGTTTTTCTGTATGCAGTGCTCAGCCAACCTGTGGAGCTCCCTGCCAAAGGATGTTGTGAAGCCTGGGACTTTAACAGAGTTCAAAAAAGAACTAGATAAATTCATAGTTAGGTACATCAGTGGCTATTAGCCAGAATGGGTAGGAATGGTGTCCCTAAGCCTCTGTTTTTCAGGGGCTGGAAATGGATGACAGGAGAGGGATCACTTGATGATTACCCATTCTGTTCACTCCCTCTGGGCATACTGGGCTAGATGGTCTGATCCAATATAGCTGTTCTTAATTTCTTTTGCATCAGCTCTAGAGATCCTAATCTTGTACGGCACGTTAACCTCATGGAGATGTAAGTTGTCTTCAGATAATTTGAATTTGGTTTACAGTGTTTATAACAGTGTCTCTGATGAAAGGCTTAAATAAGTATGTTCCCATGTTTCTAAAATTTATTTAGAAGGAACTTTAGAAGGAAAATAAAAATTTCATTTTACAAAATAAAATATATATTATAAAAAATGATTTTTTTAATTACTTTTGCTCTTATTCTAGGAAGAACAATATCAGAGGAGTCATTTGAATGAAGAAAGGTAGGTCTGCATTCCATATCAATTACTTAAAGCAGGCATGTCCAAAGTCCGGCCCGCGGGCCAATTGCGGCCTGTGTTCCGGTTTAATATGGCCCCATAGGTAATTTGGCAATATCTATCTTTTATGGCCCCCAACGAATCCATATGTATTGAGATGAATACATTGTAAAATCTCAGTTAATGTCAGTTGGTCTAAATCAGTTATAAATATATTTGGACACAACATGTATACTTGGTGTTATGTTCCTGTTCATATTTTTTGAACTTAAAAGTTGACAGACAACCTTTATTACCAATAATATGTAATGTACTTTACAATGTTCCTGACATATATTTCAGCTTCCTGGATTTTTTTTTCATCTGGCCTTCAGATATGAAAGGCAGAGTGATTTAACACCTGTTTAGATTTGTCATCCATGTGACAAAATGAAAAGTATTCCGTTTGCAATAAACTTTGCATAAAATAGTTAATTTGCATTTAATTTTAATGGTTCAAAGAATGTCAGGCAAAATGGTCGGCCCTCACGCTTGTTCACTTCATCAAATCTGGCCCTCTTTGAAAAAAGTTTGGGCACCCCTGACTTAAAGGAAATTGAGAAATTGGTTATGTTTTAATGCAATTTTTACTAAAATATATAATTTCTTAATTAAAAGTGTATTCATTTTTCATTCTCAAGTAAAAGACATAGTCCAGAGAGTACTATTCTTGGTCAAACTATGCTTGACATCTAAGTATAAAAGTATGATAGCTAATCAGATGTGGAGTCTTTCAAATGTTCTTTGGATTTGCTTTAGGGTTGGATTGTTTTTATCTCTGATACCTCATTTGTAACTGGAATTTCAAATGTCAAAGATACTTGTTATAAGAAGAAAAAATATACATGATTCCCTTATGGCTCTCGAGAAGAGCTTTAAACATGAACGTAGGTGGTTTTCAATTCTACAAGGCAAACTAAAATGATTTATTATTAAAATACTGGATTAGTAAGTTAGTTATAATTGGAGGGGCTTACTCATGATTTCTGAATGGCTGAGATTGGCAATACTGGAAGTACACATTTTTGTAAACTATGCTTCTGCAAGCAGTGACTAATTGCCCTCACACAGACTACTTTAAGCACCCAAATGCAAAATCAATCAAATTCCTTATTGAAGAGCCTATTCCTCCAAATTCTCTGTGTAAGGAGGATATTGGATCAGATAAAAATGGCCTTTTTATGTACTTTTTTGGGAGCTAAAGGCACATATTAGGCAACTAATCATGCCCTCATTTTGGAATAGATCCTGCTATTTAAGAACAAGACCTATTTTTTTCCTTTCTAATGCTTCTGGAGGGCACATGAACTTTTGCAGCATATATTTTTTGCCCAGCACATTTATTTGTATTTACCTTCATAAAAGGCATTTAGAATTCATTTCATCCTTAAAAGAACAAGCACATCATTAAATAATATGAATTGCTTATATAAACTGCATAGAACATATTTTCAGGTATGGAGAGAATGACAAGCAAATGGCTAATTCTAGAAAACAGGTGTATTTGTTACATTTTTTTAAAATAAAAGTGTCAAATACTATAGAAGGAAAATGATAGGATGCTAGTCAGTATAGGAAAGAAGAGTCTAGTAGAAATAGAATATTCATGACCTGATTTTCAGGTCTGGCCATGCCTTGACACTGCTCTTGGGTCCAAGAGACCATTTTGGCTGGTGAGAATAACCAGAACTATGCTCGTTCTCTCTTTCATCAATTTTTGTAGCCTATGGAGTGACAAGGGAAGTAGCACAGAGTCACTATACTTATTCTTTGTCATTTGGGAATTCCTAATTACCATGATCCACTGAGGCCCATCAGGTAAAATGCATAGAGAAGGGGAGAGAGAAATTTAGATTTTGTTTATAAAGATACATTAAATATATTTAATTTATCATTTTAGGAGTACTAATAAAATGAAGCGTATTGCTTGAAAATGGCTATTTTAGTCTAACTTAAATAGTTTAAAAATGAGTAGTCCTGCGACACCTTAGAGACTAATAAAAAATATATATATATAATATCATGAGCTTTCCTGCACAAAACCCGAAAGCTCATAATACTATATATTTTTTGTTAGTCTTGTGGCACCTTAGAGACTATTTGTTGTTTTTAAAGTTACAGACTAACATGGCTACCCTTCTGAGGCTTTTGAAAATTGTTTTTCAGATCTAAATCACCACCTGTTCCAGCAGTTAAAAACAGACTACATGAAGTACAACAAAGACAGATAAATGCTTCTAATTTCACAATTCCAAATGGCAGTAGTGGAAGAGAGAAAAATAACACAGACATGCAACAGAAGAAATCCTCTTCTCCCATTATTGAACCTGAAAGACCATCCTCTTCTCATTTTATTCCCTATGTGCGAACAAATGAAATTTATTACCTCGATCCACATGCACCAATGACTAGACCTTCAACACATGATCCACAATATCGACAGTTTAATGGTACTGGAACATATTGTAAACCAATATTAAGATGGGAGATGTAGTTTATAGTGATTTAGTTTTAAGAGTTGTGTGAATACCTGATGTAAATAGTGCACTGAAATCTCTGTCATTTGTCCATATACATTTCTGTTTCCTGTATAAGCTGAGCACTTGGGCAGCCACCCAGGAGAGAGTCACATGCTGCCCAGTGGATTGGCAGAGTGCCCACAGCTGACCACAGACAGCAGCATATGTTTCTGTTGGTGTTGCACATCTGCAAATGCTTTGGTGCACAGAAGAAAATTTATTCAGCACATAGATGGAAAAACTTAGAGAGAACATTGCCTGAGACTAATCAATCAGTTGTAGCACACTATTGTACAAAGAGCCTGTACTTAGTAGTCTACCCATGGGTACTGTTAAAAGAAAATAAAGTTAACTTTTTATTAGCAATATATTGTGATGAACCATTATGGTACTTTATTGGGTAATACATGTGCATATAGATGTATTGGAACTTTTTTGGGAATTGAAATACAGTTTCACTTGTGAAATAGTTTTAGTGCTAAAAAAATCTGGCAGGGAAGGAAAATTTTGCTCTTTACAAGTTATGAAAATAGGCTGGAAGGATTAGCTTTTTATTGGTAAATATCTGTTAACATCAATTTCACCACACAAACCAGTACAAAAGTATTTCTATTGATAGCAATAAAAATTTACAGAGCACACAAAGAGGAAAAAAAATGTTGCTTGAGGATTTTGTTTTAAGGATATTTCCTTTGCATAGTTTGACATGTAATATTAATGATTTGTGTTTTAATGGTTATGCATGTCTACCTTTTGAATCTCAGCGTCAATTGGCATTGTCTAACCCGTAGTTGTCTGATTGTCCCATAATTTCTTGTAACTATAAAAAGTTAAATTTATAGAAAGAAAAAATGCTTAAAATAAACATTGATATTTTCCATTGCAGTTATAAAAATATCAAATTCTTTGAAGCCTTGATAAATATTCCTTGAAAGAAATCAAAATAGAACTGAAAAAATTACATAGTGTAATTCATAGAATCATAGAATACTAGAACTGGAAAGGACCTCAAAAGATCATCAAGTCCAGTCCCCTTCCCTCGTGGCAGGACAAAGCACAGTTTATATCATCCCTGATGGATGTCTGTCTAACCTACTCTTGAATATCTCCAATGATGGAGATTCTACAACCTCCCTAGATAATTTATTCCAGTGTTGAACCACCCTGACAGTTAAGAAGTTTTTCCTAATGTCAAACCTAAACCTCCTTTACTGCAGTTTAAACTCATTGCTGCTTATACTATTATCAGAGGCCAAACAATTTTCCCCCCTCCTCCCTGTGACACCCTTTTAGATACTTGAAAACCACTATCATGTCTCCTTTCAGTCTTCTCTTTTTCAAACTAAACAATCCCAGGTCCTTCAGCCTTGCCTCATAGCTCATGTTTTCTAGACCTTTCATCATTTTTGTTGCTCTTTTCTGGACCCTCTCCAATTTCTCCACGTTTCTTGAAATGCAGTGCCTAGAACTGGACACAATACTCTTCTAATTGAGGCCTAATCAGTGCAGAGTAGTGTGGAAGAATGACTTCTCGTGTCTTGTTCACAACACTCCTGTTGTTGCATCCCAGAATCATGTTTGCTTTTTTTGCAAGTGTCACACTGTTGACTTATATTTAGCTTGAGGTCCACTATGATTTTACTTATATAATTAATTTGATTTATACTTCTCCTTAGATTCTTACCATACACCAAGACAGATTTTTAGCTCTGATCATGTGAGAGATCCACTTCTTAATCCTAATCTGGTAAAAAACAGAGACCGACAGCAGGCAATCCTCAAAGGACTATCAGAATTACGCCAGGTACAGTATGAGCTAAATCTTCAATGAACATTTTAAAGCTTTGTGTTTTTTCATAATCATTTACCATCCTTTTAGCCTTAGGGTACGTCTAGACTACATGCCTCTGGCGACAGAGGCATGTAGATTAGGCTACGCGGCATAGGAAAATGAAGCGGCAATTTAAATAATCGCCACTTCATTTAAATTTAAATGGCTGCCGCGCTGAGCCAATCAGCTGTTTGTCGGCTCAGCATGGTAGTCTGGATGCTCCACAGGTGACATCAAAGGCATTTGTCGACCTCCCAGGTAAACCTCATCCCAGGAGGCATTTGCATGTCTTCTTCCATTCACGCATTCGAAAGCAGAGCTTTCGAAAGTGAAAGTTGTTTAGACATGGCTTTTTCAGCGAACCCCGCCTTTGTTGAAAAGCTGCGTAAACCTGGAAAAGCTGCATCTAAACTACTTTCACTTTTTCCTCTTTTGACCGTTCCACGTAGTCTAGATATGCCCCTCGTGGGTTGATCTGGAAGGTGTAGCTGCCCATTTACATCAAAAGACTTAACAGGGCTGGCAGTCATATAGCAGCTATGAAAAATATTTTACTTTGTTGATTTGAAGTATGAATTGCTCTAAAACATTTTTCCTAAAATAGGTTTCCTTTTGGCAATACTGCAGCCTGTTTTTGGATACCCAATGTATCTATAAAAATAAGAAGTGACAGAATATTTTATGTCGTCACTTCTTAAGGGAATTTATTCAAAACAAAGGCATGTGTACATTTGTATAAGGTACATAAGGTTTGCTCTGTTAACTCTGGTGCACCAATCTCCACAAGATTTAGTGAAAACAACTTTGAATGAAATCTGTTTATTTTTAGTGAAAAGATTTAAGATGATTAAGAAGATATGCACTGCACATAAAACATCAACTGATGAATGAAGGCTACATACTTTTGTGGCTAGGAGTCAAGATACTACTGAGATGATGATGTTGCTATCCATCTAGATAATAAAACAGGAGTGATTTAGTGGTTCAAAGTAATATGCTCACTGCAGCTGGATACAGCGAGTCCTTGTCTAGCTAAAGAAAGTGAGATACTTGGGGTTCTTTAAGGATTCGGTCAAAGGAAATAAGGAGGAAAGGGGAACTTGGACCTCATCTGAACAGAAGCAAGGAAAGGGAAGTAGCATGACCAAGTATTGCACACCCTGGAATAACATCTGTTCTAGTGGTGGAGGTATTTATGTATCTCAGTGAGAACATTTTTTTCTACTTCAGGCCCATCCTTCTGCATGGCAAAGCCATTTGAGAAAGTAGACTTGAATGACAAGTGCAAAAGCTTTACGGTTTTCCTCTAATGGTGTGGCATGACTGGGTGGGAGTTCATGCTATAATAAAACTCCAATTGTGCACCCTCTAATACCCTACGGCTACATTGCGCATTCTTGTGCAAGAAGACATACAAATGAGGCACAGTGATGAATATTGCTGTGCTTCACTTGCATACCTAATGAGCCGCCATTTTGCACAAGAAGGAGCAGTCTGCTACTTATTTTCAGGCAGAACAGCTCTTGCCCAAGAGGATTTCTGCACAAGAGCAGTATAGACTGCTCCTGGGTCCTACTAGCCCCCTAACCTCCCCACACACGGCTGCCTCTGATACAGCACCAAGGCAGAGGGTCCATGGGAGCTGATCTACATGAGGAGTCTCCTTAAAAGGTAGCTCACCACGTGCACCAACTCCGGGAAGTGGCCACTCTTCTCTTTCTCCCTCTCCTCTTCTCCCCACATTTTAATGTGTAACCTCTGAATTTTCACCAGTTACACACATTTATGTGAATAAACACTTAACAGCCCTAGTTTAAATTACTGTAAAACTGGGCATTGCAGAGAGTGTTGGTGTTTGTTTTTTTTTAATTCAGAATCAGTTTCTTTTCGGAGTGAATTCCCATTCTGCTGTTAAAAAATAGCTCAACCCTATGATCTGATTTACATTAATTTGCTAATGAGAATGTGCTAATGTAGTATCATATTTGATGTAGGGATATTAAATTTAGTTTAATCAATGAGTCGGAAGGCTAAAGGTCAGCGGGGGTGACCTAGTGTGAGCAAGGAATCAGCTAGCCGGGCTGGTGCCAGATCCCCACAGCTGCGCTTCTGATTTTTAAATGTCTTAAGAGCTGGCAGGCTCTTAATACGTTTAGGCTATGTCTATACTATGAGTGTTCTTGGCAAAAAATATGCTAACGAGGGAGTCATTTGCATGAGGTGTGATCTCATTTGCATATTTTCTGCCAATCCGTTTTTTCGCTAGTGTTTTTGCACAAAAACAAGCAGTGTGGGATATTTCCTTTTTGCACCAAAAAACCCTTTTTCAGCAAGATCGGTAAACAACCTTTTGTGGGGCATAAGGATCTTGTGGGAGAGTTTGTTTGTTTTTTTTGCACAAAAAGGAAATGTTTACAGTGCTTGTTTTTGTGCAAAAAACCCAGTGTGAACCTCTGGAGGAGGAGCACAGGGTGAGCCCCTGGGGAGGGGGTCTGCCCTGGAGGAGGCATGTGCCAGCCTCCCTCCGGGGGGGTGCAGGGGACTCTGCTCCCCTGTTCCCTCTCCCCACCCTCAGAAACCTGTCTCCAAGCAGCCACTAGCACCCTTCCCCAGTACTATGGCCCCTGCTCCCAACAACACAGTTGGGCCCACATTAGTGAAGCTTGGGGGCTTATTCCTCGTTAGGAAAGGAATAACTCGTGTGCAAGAAGCCCGCTGTTCTGACGCTTTACTGTAAATTTACTTGCACAAGACCATACATGCAATATAGACGCACCGCAAGTCTTTGCACAAGAACACCTGTTCTTGTACAAAACGCCTGCAGTGCATGTGGGTTGGGAGAATGCCCACACTGACCGCCAGGAAAATGTAAACCAAACTAGAATTTTCTAGTACTTTAACAAATTTTTAAAACCTAAGTTAGTTTTGCTGTCCATGAAGAGCCAAACTGATTTTTGCTGAACATTTTAGCATCTGAAAACTGCAGATTAGCATAGAGCCCAGGAGTTACTCACTTCTAAATTTACTGTGTACACCATATGCAACATGCATACTGGAGTTGCAAAAACACCCACCAAACATGCTCCTAGGTCCAGAGTTAGAGATACCAAGTACAAGATAAGACAGGAATAGTGACATCCTTAGCTGTTGTGCACTGCCTTAAGACTAGGAAAGGCAGAATAATAATTTTAAAAAAGGGGGGGGGGAAGAGGGTGTGAATAGGGAGAGGAGCATAGACTCCTTCCCAAAAGCATCCGTGCCACTCAAAAGCATTTGCGGAAAAGAGCGTCTAAACAGAAAACGTTTCTGTTAAAAGCATTTGTGGAAAATCATGCCAGTCTGGATGTAGCCATGTTGTTTTACTCACACCACTCTTCAGAATCAGCTTTTCTATTTTTACCTATTGCTCTCATGCCTCCAGAGGCACAGATAGTTCCTGAGTCTTGATTTCCAGGTCTGTCTGTTGCCTTGCACATGTAAGCCAAGGCTAACATGTAAGTGTGCTGCCTCTTTTTTTTTTTCAAGGAATGACAGACAGAAGAAAAACAGCCTGCAAGTCCTACCACTTTTGGTACAGTTCAACTATTCTAGGTTCCAGCATTATTAAAAACCACTAAAATGTTTTTTTCTTGTTTGCAGCCATCCACCATAACAAAAAGCTGCAGTAGTTACACAATTGTGTGTTGTGGGATTCCTACCTCATTCAGTGCCTAGGATAGAGTGACTGAAGTAGAGATGTATTGCTTTTGTCTAAGGCACTGAGCTAGGTTTCACTTACTCTGCCAGAGATTTCCTATAGATGGAAGGCAAGATGCTCACATTTCATGTGAAAAAGGAAGCTGAAGTCAAACAGCATAGTCACCCTTAGTGAGGTTTTCATACCTTTGAGTGCTTGATGTAGGAGTTGTGCGTATATACACAAATTGCATATTTAAGCCAGTTATAGAAGCTAAAAAATATGAATAAGAACTGAAGTAGAATTGTGCATATTTTGTGGAGGAGGAACATTTAATTTGTACTCCTTATTCCAGGGTCTCCTCCAAAAGCAGAAGGAGTTGGAGACGGGTCTAATTCCCATCATTAATCAAGAAAACTTTATTTCACCATTTTAAAAAAGGTACACAAGCATACCAAAAAAGCTGTAAAATGTCATGCATGGCACTTTATATTTGCTACTGTAATTTACTAACTGCATGTAAATCTTTTTTAGTGGAGGTCTAATCTCCATTTAATGTTGCCTCCTCCCCAACTTGCTTTTAAAATGCTTGAATATAATATATAATGCATTTGCTGTTTAGAATTGTCTTCTACAGTGAAGATTTAAGATTGTGGTAGGAAAAGTTATTTAAATTTTTGTAGAATTTATGTATTCTTGGTATAAATAAATTTTATTAAATATTTTAATGACATTACCAATTTGTTTCACTAAAAAATTAGAAGTGCCAGTTTTTCACTCTGTTGCCCCACCCTGGTATCTGTATGCTCTGTAGCTAAACAATGCACATACTAATGAGCAGCCCAGCACTCAAAATGTATTGAATAAAGCTAGCTAAAATGTATTACCAGTTTATAACAGGAGCAAAGGAGACACAGCCTTTGGTTTAGTAAAGCCACAGATTTATTTTTAAGTGTGAGTACCAGCTGATAGAAGTGCACAGTGCAGGTAATTCCATAATCATTTCAGTATGTTGCCAATGGCTTCTGCCAGCTTTCCCCCCCCCCTTACCTATCCTAGGCCTCAGCCAGAAACAAGGCACTTCAACCTACCCCCTGCTCCAATGAAGGTGAAGGGAAACTATAAAGGAGGCGAGGTGTTGGCTCCCTGTTATACCAGTCTTGAAGCCCCAAACTCCTCTCCCCCCATTTCAACTCTTAAGGATTTCTCTTTTTTAAATCCTTTACCTAATACATTTTATCTGATTATTAGCCCTTCTCTGGAGAATAACTGCAGTGGACATGTTCCAAAAGCAGCACCCACAATTAACTTGTCTGGGGACCTTGTGAAGAATGGGGAGAGGTAGCGGTCTCCAAATGCCCTTATATCAGCCAAACACTTTCCAGCTCTCAAGTCTGATAGGTGGACCCTCTCCTACCTGAATAATTCTGGTGCCCCCATTTACTACATTAGATGCAAAAAGATTAAGCCCTCCTATAACAGGCTTGAATTTAGCCACTTCATAGACTTGTAACCATGCAGTTACGTCCAGTGGCCATACTACAAAAGCTAAACTGACAAAAACAAACAGTCTTGGAGACAACACTAAATTTAGGAAAACCACACAGTATGCCAATTAGTTGTATGATCCACCTATGTCTTCACAAGGATATATTTGTTTTAGTAATTGAGGAAAAAAATGTACTGGGAAGGGGAAGGAGGAGACAATTTAGCACAAACATTTTAAAGGAAAAGTTGAACAGTAATTAAAACTTAGGAGGATGGTCAGTTTAATGATAGTGTTCTGCTAAATGTGGCACTAAGTTCAGTATCCAAAAGTATTGAAAGTATCAACTTGAATTATCTACAAAAGTGTAAGAGAACAATTCAGCTTTCTGCCAGCTGCAAAATAAAAGAACCAGAGCTTTTACAGTGGATGGATATTTCCATGCAATTCTGGTAAACAGGAGATGTGAACAGATTGATTAGATGCACACAAAAATGGTATTGCAAAAACTGATGCTGCAAAATGTATTTTAGAAACAGAACACAAACAAAGCAAGTTGCTACTAAGTCCCATGTGCATGAAGAGTTTATTTTTTTTTAAATGGAACTGCACCATTGGTTACTCTAAATTGAGGTATTTAGCCAAAATCCAGTACTTTTTTTATATATGTATTTTCATTAAAATAACTACACTCCCTTATCACTATGTAAAAACATTTTGTACAAAAATTGTGTCCAATGTCAAATAAATACATAACAGTTTTTATATTCATTTAAAGAAAAGTGGCTTGGATACTCTATTACAGTTTACTTTAAACAAAAATGAAGCTTTGCTATTTCACATGCTTTAGGCAAACATTCAGTTTTACATTAAAACAGACTTCAAACTGAAGTCCAAGTACAGGTCAAATACAAATGTAAAAACTTAAAAGTGCCAACAAACAAGATAATTCAATACAATAAATGTTAAAAAATATATATTTATTTCAATTTTCAGATGCTTCAACTGGTACAGGCCATCATGATTTAAATAGGACAGGAAAACATTTGAGTTAAGGACAAGAAACATTTAGTTCAGAGAATAAAATAGAAACTGTTAATTCACTTATTTAGAAACAGAAAGGTCCACAACAAACCCATAAAGTTTGTTTTGTATTTATTTCTATTTTGAAAATGGCCTGGAAGATTCATAATTTACATCCCAATTATTAGGAGAAGATGACTTGTCTGTGTCTATGCTCTGGCTATAAGCAGACAGAAAATAATTCCCACCTTCTTGGCTTTGACTTGTGGAAATTGGGTATGTTGTTCCCAAAAAAGTCTGATGAGTGAGAACATTGAAATGACTGAACTGATGGGACACACTTAACTGTCTACTGTAAATCTGAAAGTTGGTGAAAGGAACTTTTTCTGAGTTTGTCTCTCCTTCAGCAGAGCATGTTGTAGAAACAGGCATTATTGGCTGTATCTCCTCCAAATCAAGTTTAGAAGCTTTTTCCATCAACCCAATTTGTCCTTCAGAAGATAGTTGTGTATCGGTTTCACAGTTTTCTTTTGAATCTGTTCCACGTGAGCCTTTGGTCTCTGTCTGCAAAGCTTCTGAATGAGACTCATACTTTGAGGCATCACTGCAGATTTCTATTTGTGATGTTTCATCCCCTGAATCCAAAGACATGTCTTCCTCATCCTTTTCATCGCTTTCTACAAGAACTATATTAAGAAAGAGAAGTCCTACTCTATTGAAATATATGATTTTTTTAAAAAAGCTATACACTACTCACAGAGTGTTATGCTTCAGGTCTGTAAGTCCAATATCACTTAAGGCTTGGTCTTCTGCCACTCTTGTTCACTTACTCAACACACACACTTAACCCTTTGTGTGAATGTCCAGATATTCCGATGCTAAAAGCTTCTGCGCATTGTGTTCATGTTTAGTGTTGGGAAATCCCAACTCCCAGCTCCATAGGGGTTAATGTCAAAACAGCATCTAAAGTTATACAGTAGGTCAGTATTTGATAAGACAATTACAGAATACAATTACTGACATCCAAATTCATTTTGTTACTGTTTCTAAAGCTGTCATTAAGTTTATCCTTTCCTAAAAACAGAAGGGAATGTTATTTGGCTTTACACCTTAACCTCTCCATCAGACTCCCTTGGATACCGAATTAGCCAGTAATTCTGTATTTAAGATACCTCAAAATATTCCATCCCAGCTTCCCTTTTATATTGCTTAAAACAGAGTACTTGAGAGTTGGGATTTCCTCACAATATACAGTGTTCATTTTGTTGTAAGAGTAAAGACACACTACACTTTAAGGACACCTCCACCCCACTGTTCTGACTAATTGGAAAGAGAATAAAATATGCTGAATATTACCTGATTGGGTCTCAGGAACACCAGGTGAAGGAACGTTGTTTTCTTCAGTAATTGAATTGTGGTAGCCAACAAGATTTTTGAAGTTTTGCATAAAATCATCAACTGTAGCAACTACAATTCCATTATCAGCATAATTGGAAAATGTTTTGACATTCTTTTCTAGATTTACAAAAAAGAGAAAGAGGATCAACTTGCTAATAGCATAATATTAACTCTAAGAAAAAGATAGGTGAAAGTTGTGTTCTTACCTGTTAAGAAGACAACATGTCTTTGTTGTATATTTTGAGCTTGAAGTCTGATAAGACAGTCTAATTCTGGAGCATTTCGTGTTTGAGAGTCACAGTTATGATATGACAGAATCTCAACCATATGTTTCTTTTGATAGATACTCAGAAGCGTCAGCAGACTCAGGGCTTTAGCATTCATTCTATTTAGAAGAGGATGTGATATTTACATTTAGATCAAGATTCAAATTATGTAATGTATCACAAACTCCCTTCAGAAATATTTTCTTCATTTGTGATTTTTTCTAACAATTTCAAAACTTTATTATTTAGAGTACAATGCTTACCTCCCAAGCTCCTTCAGTTTTTTTTGTATTTTGCAGTGGACTTTCCACTGCCATTTCCCATCAGGGGTATTGAGGTCCTCAAGGAACTTCAGGAAATGTTTAAGTTTGTCTGTTTTGGAGACAATTATTGTGCATTATACAGGATTTTTTTTTTTAATTACAATATAAACAAATACTAATGTGCCTTCCATTTTACAGATGTTGGATTAGCAGCTGACATTACCCCACTACTGAGCTTTGTAAGGACATTCTTATTTTTAAAATGCTCAGTTTAATGGATTAGTTTGCCTTAAGTCCACTAAAATTGCGTAAGCTCATATATGGGCTAAAATTTGACCCAAAGTAACTTATTGCCATTACGAGAGCCGTTAAAAAAGAATTCACTATTGCTGGGGTTTTTTGGGGGGGAGGGAGCCGCGAGACCATGAGAAGTATGTCATCTTAAATAAAGGCTACAATTATAAAAGCTGGGTATGAATCTATGGGAATAAAAATGATTTGGTAGCATTACACAAAAAGCTTTATGTTGAGGCAGCTATTCAACCTGACCCACGCTGATACACTAAAGTTTCAGAGGGATAGCTGAGTTAGTCTAACTGGAAAAAAAAAAAAACTTCAAAAACAATGAATAGCCTAGCAACACCTTAAAGACTAACAAAACATGTAGATGGTATCATGAGCTTTCGTGGGTATTACCTACTCATTCTTCAGATGATATACTAGAGCTACTACACTGACTTCTGCATCAGCAACTTATGAAATATGAATTGGTGTTGCTAATCCAAGTTGGACGTAGGCAACCATCTCCAGAGATGCCAATAATGAAATGCATATGAGAATGAACTGATTAACTCTCCTGGAGATGGCTCTTCCTAAAAGGCTTGGCAATCGGACCACAAGAAGTTTGCATTGCCTCTCTTCTGTAGTTAAAATGGAGGATTTCTCATTCTTAAATGCTGTCAATAAAACATGTCTCCTGCATTTGAAAGCATGATTTTAAACAAAAATCCTTACCAACTGTAACAGACTCTGGATTAAGAACAGATTCATCAGAGACAATGAAACCACCAGACACAAACAATTCATTGTAAGTGTGGTTTTTCACATCATCCAAGCTATCAACACCAGCAAAACTGACACATGAAAGCCTCTTCAGAGTTACTAAACCAGGTATCTGTTTAAAAAGATAAATGTAGTTAGAAGTATGATGCAGGGAGACCCG